TAACTGATTGGCTAAATGATTGATGAAGGTAAAATTTATTATTTTTGAGGTCCACAAACTATGCATTATTTTTCCTATTTGTACTGCCCTTAATGGCAGTGAATAATAGTAATAGTTGCAAGAGTATCCTTCTTTTGTAGTCAATAATAACAGTGTCTACAGCTTTAACCTTGTTTTATTTATTTTATTTAAATGAAACTAAACAATTAAAGAAAAATAGACTGTTGGCTCATCTTAATTCTGGAATTGATTGAATTAATCGTTTTCCTATAAATATATGTAATTATTTTCTATTTAGCTATTAGGTTAACAGATAAGATAGATTTTTATAGTGAATTTATCTTAGTAGAATGTCAATTTGATCTATTTTGAGGAAGATAAGTATAGACAAGACTAGACTAAAAGTTCCATGAGAGTAAGGACTGTTTCCATCTTATTCACCCAAATGCCCTTGGTGCTAGTGTTTGCCTACCAAACACAGGTACTCAAGAAATACTTGTGGAATGAACTAATATAATATAGCGTGATTCCCAGATGCTAACCTGTAATGAGATTGCATAGGCTCAGTAATTCATCAACATCTCATTAAACAAGTAAATTGAAAATCCTTTTATTACCACTTACTATTGCTGTTTACTGTTTAGAAAACAAATTTTAGTAATAAATAACTTTGAGTTAAATAGAAAAATGGATGAATTATGAATAAATGTAATTAACAGTTGTCATCTTTCAAAGCATGAGGTTTCTGGAGGAAGAAAAAGCAAAATGAAGAGGCCTTATGATGAAAAGATTAAAAATAGATATTCTTTAAGGTTAGGCATAAATCATAGATGGTAATCAGCATATAAATGATTCAATTCAGTGGCCATTATTTGGTACATTGTACTGGGTGATTGCATGATCATAATAATACTTTGAATTTTCCTGTCACTTCTTACTTTCAGAGTGGTTTCCACACTCTCTCATAGGACCACAAGCAGTCCTCTGAGGGAGAACGGGAAAGTGGTATTCTCTTTGGAATGTGAATGAATTGAGGCACAGTGGGTTAAGTAAGTTGCCCCAGCCATTTGCTAGTAGGTGACAGACTAATATAAATGCTTTTTTTCTATATCTGATTCTTCACACTTGCATATTTCAACTGTTACAGATTCACAGTAGCAGAAATAGATGTCAGAAAAAAAGAGGCATAAAGCCAAGAAAAAGAATGCTGAGTTTAGCACATGACCTCTTGGTTACAGTTTAGACTTCAAGAGGCTGAGTTTTTAAACGTCAGTCTTCCACTAGGTGCTTAGGTAAAATATTGTGAAATCCCAGACCGAGCCCACTGTTAAGTAGTGTGTGACCTTGGGCAAAGAAAGGTCTTTCTGTTCTCATATCAGAACTTCAGAGTTTGGTTATCTTTAATTCAATTCAGTTACTCTAGGATTTTGAAGTTGTTGAAGAAAAACACAGTCAACCCACGTTTATAACAGTTACAACAGCTATTTACAATAACTGTTTATCATCCTGCTTTTGTTGGAAGGATCCCATGTTGTATAATAAATAAATGTGAATGAAAAGAGTGTAGTCCCTAAGATTATAAAAACTCTTATAATCCAACTAAAAGCCAAAGGCCAAGAAAGCAGTGTTGGAGTAGAAAGTGGATGTGGCTAAGATAGAAGATATCACAAAAGGAAAGGCTGGTGATTGCCTAAAGAGGTCGTGGGTGCCAACTGTATTGACGTAATCTCATGAGAAGATATCACAAAAGGAAAGGCTGGTGATTGCCTAAAGAGGTCGTGGGTGCCAACTGTATTGACGTAATCTCATGAGAAGATATCACAAAAGGAAAGGCTGGTGATTGCCTAAAGAGGTCGTGGGTGCCAACTGTATTGACGTAATCTCATGGAGTGAGTTGTGTTTAACAAGAACATGTAGCTCTTTTCTTCCTTTGACATGTGGCTCTAGAGCTGGCTTCCAGGATGGTAAAAAAGATTGAGGAGTAGTAAATGATTAAAATAGAAAAAGCTTTAGACTCTTTAGCTTCCTTGTGTTATTAAAGGCCCTATACCCGTTTGACTAACTGTGACTACGCAATTATTCTGAAGTGATGTAAAATCATCAATCCAGTGGCAGAATTCTTATTGTCCCAGACCTCTGAATTATATTATTAGTAATTGTAGCTAACATTTATTGTGTGCTTTATGCCAGGCACACTGTTAAAAGCTTTATATGAAATATTTCATTTATTCCCACAACACTTAGAGGTAGATATTACTATTTTCCTTTTACAGGCAAGGACATTAAGACTTAATGGAAGTTAGTAACTTGCTTGCTTTATAATGCACATAAATATTATTTAACAGTTCAAGATAGGAAATAAAAAATGATGTGACCTATAATAATGAATTTAGTTGGAATTGCTTGCCCTTTTTGCATTGGTTATAATAATAATTGCTTGAATTGAGTTTTCCTGGGGCACCAGCTTGGAATCAGACAGACCTAAATTTGAATATCAGCCTTGCTACTTGTTAACTGGGTACCTTTTTAATCAGCTTACTTAAATGTACTGTGCCTCAGTTTCCTGGTAAATAAGCATAATATCTTCCTCCCTCACAGGTCTATTATAAATACAGTTGATCCTCATTATTCATGGGTTTCATATTTGAAAATTCGCCTACTTGCTAAAATTTATTTGTAAACCCCAAATCAATACATGTAATACCTTCAAAGGCATTTGCAGACATGTACAGAGCAGTGAAAATTTGAGTCACCCGACCACATGGTCCCAGCTGAGGTTGAACAAGGTGGCACTCTGCTTTCTTATTTCGTTTCTCATCCTGTGAACAAGTATCCTTTTCACAGTCTATTCAATGCCATTTTTTTTTGTTGTTGCATTTTTGTGCTTTTTATTGGTGATTTTGCTGTTTAAAATGGCTTCCAAATGTAGTGCTGAAGTGTTGGCTAGTGAGGCTAATTTCAAGAAGGCTCTGATCTGCCATTCAGAGGAAGTACATATGTTAAGCTTAGTTCAAGCATGAGTTGTAGTGCTCTTGGCCATAAATCAATGTTAATGATTCAACAATGTATATTAAATAAGATGTTTTTAAACTGAAACACACATAAAACAAGGTTATGTATTGATTGGTTGACGAAGATATTGTGACCAGCGGCTTGCAGGAATCCGACTGTGTATATAGGAGCAGTTGTTACAGTATTCATTAATTTAGTGTTTGCAACAACTTTTTATAACTACCGTGAATGGCAAGAATTGACTGTAATGAATACTCAATACATTAACTTTCAACTTTATCTCTAAGTTTTCTTTCTGGCCTTAGACAAGGAAACATCTCTGAAAGAGTTGGGGATATCCTTAATGATTTTTACAGGGCAGTGAATACTCTCTGAAATAGCATCTGTGTGTTTAGAAGACAAGCTTTACAAACACAATGTTCTCCTTTTTAGCTTCTAGAGTTCCTTGTTACACCTTATCATAAAATATTACTAATTAATTAAGTTAAAAGTTCAGTTTTGGACACTAGACTAAACTGTCTTCCAGGACAGCTTTATTTTATCAGAAAGTAAATATACTATGATTATTATCTCATTTTTCAGAGATGGAAACGAAGGCCTAGAGACATGAAGTAATTCACTAAAGGTCGCAGAATTAGGAAGTGGTACAATCTGGTCCCAGGATCGTTTTGGGCTTGTAGCTAGCGTGTAATATTCTTTGCCTAAACTTGTCTTATTTTCTGATATTTTACTAATTTGAAGATATTGATTCGAGAGTTATATGTTCATTGCACAGCATCTTAAGCTTTGCTGAAGAAAACTATTATATTTAGTCAGTGGATAAGTAAGTAGATGAGTGTGGGTTTTAGCTCTAATTCTTTAATTAGTTTTTCAAAATTGGCTTATTTTTATTTCTTGCTAAGTTTCCAAAAGAGGAATCTACCTAAATGTGAGGTTTTGCTCCTTTGCTCTCTGCCGGGAGATATGTTTTTCTTCATAGGATAATTTGGAGGTTTTATCTTGTTCTTGTTTCTTTAATATCCTGATTAAAGGATTAGAAAGCCCTTTGCTACATTTGAGTCACTAATACCACCCTGAGCACAGAGCCACACAACTGGGGGACATAGATTTGCATTTGTTGAATGAATAATAACTTAGCAGCAGAGCTGCCTTCTTCTCTGTAACTGTGTCAACTGTTCTTCACATTGCCCATGCTTGCTGTCTCTGGGTAGAGTTCTCAGAATTAGCAGAGAATGTAACATCAGTAATAAGATGTAGGTCGTGGAGATGAGTAGATTGGAGTTATGAATACTGGAAAAGTGGGTTCACGGCTTCATAGTGGGGATACTTGTTTAGCTATTGCCTGTGAAACACTGCACTCCCATCCATTATCCCCTTTATGTTTCGTTCGTACTCACTGGATCAACCTTTTATTTGGACTTAGTGTTTGCCAAATACGATTAGGAATCCAAAATAATAATCCTTGTTTTCCAGAAGCTCAGAGTCTCCCATCAGCTGATAAGAGGGGTGTGTGTGTGTGTGTGTGTGTGTGTGTGTGTGTGTGTGTGTGGTGTGTGTGCTTTAATGGAGATATTATGAGAAGAGTATTGTAGGAACACAGAGGGCGGCACAACTGACTGCCTGGTGGGGACAGGGAGGTCTGTTATGAAGAGAGTCATTTTTGAGTTGGAACGGGAGTTTTCCAGAGCAGCTGGGTAGGTCAGCATCTCCAGAGAAAGACCATAGCAGCAAGAAAGAGGATGCAATATTTTGGGAATGCTATGACATTTTGTTGTGGTTGAAAGAGGATGTGGCGAGGGATGAGCCTGGTAAAATAGGTTGGGCCAGATGGTGAAGTGCATGTAGTGATAAGGGAGACTTTGGAAAGCTTTAATTAGGGTGTGACATGATCAGAGCTTTATAGAAACAATTCTGGTAACGGAGTAAAGGGGAGGAAACAGCTGGGGGAGTGCGGTGACTAATGGGTTATACAATCTTCTGCCTTCCAGCTTTCTCCTGTGCTTCTGGCGAGTATCTGGAAATGAAGAACCAGGTATGCAGTAAGTGTGGCGAAGGCACCTACTCCTTGGGCAGTGGCATCAAATTTGATGAATGGGATGAATTGCCAGCTGGATTTTCCAATGTTGCGACATTCATGGACACTGTGGTCGGCCCTTCTGACAGCAGGCCAGATGGCTGTAACAAGTAAGAATCCAAAGGAGCCTTTGGATCTTGACTCAATACTTGAGAAGGGTGTAGTTGCTCTTTTCCAGAAAGAATTTGAGGATAATCTTGGTACTGACTGGGATTATAGATAAGCTAATTGCAAAGAGTCATTTTTTTTGGACAGTCATTAGGAATAATGTAGCTGAATTTTCATGAGGTTAAAATAATTGCTCTCAAGATGTAATAGATACTGTGTGCAGAAATGCAATAAAGCTATTAGAAAAACAAATTAATTTTCTAATAATATACTTATAACTACATTCAAGCCCGTGATGTTTCTACAAACCTTTCTCTAATTTTTAATGGATAATTTCAGATTTTTTTTCTTTTCCTCTGAAAGGAAGAATGTGTAACCGTCATTTAGACACTTGATAATCTCCTGTAAGAGAGAGTGGGTTAAATACTCACTGCTTTGCTTAATGTCTGCCTTTTATGTAGGAGATTATTGGCTTTGCCTATGACAATGCTGGAGCAATGTTAAATTGTTTTGAAAAAACACAAAATGTTTACCTTTGGGCTGTAACCCTTCCTGTTCTCTTGTATTGACTAGGTAACATTTCCTTTCGTATGGCCATGTTTAGGAGAATTAAACCTTAGGCCTTTGGCTACCTTCTGGCAAGAATGGCTTCTCAGCAACTCAAAATTTTTACCATGAGCTAAGGATGCTGGGGCATTATTTGGCTGTGCTAAATAATACTCCCTCCCTTCCTCTCTTCCTTCCTATCTTCTCTCAGTCCCTCTTGCTTTCTAGCTCTCTCTCTGCCAAGTGACATTTTTGCTCCCCTGATGATGGCCATTTCATTATATAGGGTTGTGGCATTAGATATCATTAACAGGATTAGTTCTCTAAATATATATATATATATAAATGTATATGTATATATATGAATATATACATGGACAAACACAAGTATATATATACACATGTACAATATATATGTATATACATATGTGTGTGTGTATATATATATTAAATTCATTTAAATAAAAGAGTTCCTTATGGAAGGTGCTAGTATAATTTTATGGGACCACAGAACTTTGTTTTGGTGGGCAGGAGATATTGACATGGCTTCTTTTTCTACTTGGAATAGTTTATTCATTAAAGAAATTAATGATAAACAGAAGTTTTTCGATGTACTATCTTCTAGTATGATTTTCTCAATGTAAATTTCAGTCTGATATTGCTATGATTACCTCTCTCCTTCCTGCCTCTTTTCTATTTACCCAATCTTGCATTCTTTTTCTTCTTGTTAGGTGGTTGGGTCGTATAGAAGATGTGCATTGAACTTTATAAGAAATTGCCAAAGAATTTTCCAAAATGGTTGAATCATTATAAACTCCAGCAGTGCGCTTGAGTTGTAGTTATTCTACATTTTACCGACATTTGTATTGTCAAGTCTTGTTTTATTTTAGCTGTTGTGGTGTGTGTGTGTGAAATGATATCTCCTTGTGGTTTTAATTTGCATTTCCCTTCTGTATAATAATGTTGAGCACTTTTCGTATGTTCATTGTCCATGTGTTTATTTTTTTTTTGAGGTGTCAAATTGTTTTACCCCTTTTCTACTTTTTTTTGGTCATTTTATTATTGAGCTGTAGTTCTTTGTGTATTCTGGACACAAGTTCTTGTCGTGTATATATTTATATGATATTTAACATGTAATATACGCATATACACATATACATATGTGCATGTGTAATATTTCCTCCCAGTCTGTGGCTTTTGCCTTTTCATTTTCTTAAAGATGTTCTTTGATAAACAAAAGTTTAAAATTTGAAAAACTGCAATTTATCAATTTTTTTCTGTTATGGTTAGTATTTTTTATATCTTCAGATAACTGCTAATTCTCAATTGCAAAGGCTACAAATTACAATATGCATTATTATAGTGTAATTAGAGTTGTACTTTTTCATATGTAAAACTTTACAACAGTATAGTTATATTTACACCCTCATCTTTATACTATTGTCTTATATTATATTTAGAAAAATATTATAAACCCTATAATACAGTGAAATGTGTTTTAAATAATTGTTTTTTAAAGAATTTAAGAGATGAAAAAATACAGCTTTATCTGTTTATCTACATATTTACCATTATTAGGACTCTTTCTTCTTTTATATAGATCTGAATATTCATCTAGGATTATTTTTTTCAGCCTCTAAAATTTCCTCTATCACTTTTTATAATGCAGGTCTGCTGCTCACAAATTCTCTCAGCCTTTGTTTACCTAAAAATATCTTTATTTTAGCCTCAGTTTCGAAGAATATTTTGTTGGACATAGGACTCTGGACTTCTTCTTTTCTCTTTCTATGCTTTGAAATATTGTTCCATTACCTTCTGAACTCTCCCTTGTTTGTGATGAAAAATTAGCTGTATTTTGTATGATTAATTCCCGCCTATGTAATGTGTCTTTATTTCTCTGGCTACTTATAAAATGTTCTCTATATCTTTGCTATTCAGCAGTTTGATTATGATGTGCCCAGGGTTGGTTATCTTTGTATTTAATCTGCTTCAGGTTCACTGAGCTTCTTGGATTTGAAGGTTGATATTTTCACCAAATTTGGGAATTATTTTAGCCATCATTTCACCAATAATGTTTTTCTGCCCCTTTCTCTCCCTCTTTTCCTTCTATGACTCCAATTACATGTATGTTAGGCCACTTGATATTGTCCAAAAGTCACTGAGGCTCCATTTTTCTTTTTACTTTTTTTCTTTCATACTTCAAATTACCTAATTTCTATTGCTCTATCATTAAATTCACTCGCCATTTCTTTTGCAGTCTCAAACCTGATCTTAAGCCCATCTGGTGAATTTTAAATTTCACATATTGTGATTTTCAGTTATAGAATTTCCATTTAGTTTATTTTATCGTTCATATTTCCAGTAAAATACTTGAGATTCCCCATCCCTTCACTCATTGTGTTCATCTTTTATTTAATATGGTTGATTATATTTGTAAGAGCTGTCTTAAATACTTGTCTGTTTCTTTTGCCCATCTTTTTTCTCAATTAGGGTCATATTTTCCCACTTCTTTATATGTCTAGCAAACTTTTATTATATCTTGGGCATTGTGAACGTTAAGATGTAAGGAATGTGGATTATTTTTTTCTTCATTTAAAGTGTGTTGAATTTTGTTCTGGCAGGCAGTTTATTTACTAGAGGAGCACCTTGATCTCATCAGGCCTGGTTTTATTATTTTTTAAGGTGGCTCTGTATTGGTTTTACACTTAATTCTAGGTCATGGCGTTTACTCTAGGGCGGGCATTGGTTTTGTAAATAAAGTTATATTGGAACACAGCTGCACTCATTTATTTATGTTTTGTCTATGGCTACTTTTGAGCTCCAGTGGTGGAGTTAAGGATTGCTGGAGAGACCAGATGGTTCACAAAACCAAAAATATTTACTCTCTGGCCCTTTATGAAAATGTTTGCTGACACTTGCTGTAGGCATGGCCCTTATTCCTGGGGTGTGCAATCTGGAGTCTCAGGTGAATGTCCAATGTGGTTATCAAGTTTTCTCCTCTCTGGCTGGCCTGGAGCTCAAATGACTCCCATTAAAGTGACCTCTATGCTTATGTCTCAGCTTTGCAGTGGCTGTTCTCTGCTAGGCCTATACACTCCAGCCCCAACCTCAGGACCTAGAGAGAAAATCCATGTGGACTTCTGGAGCCTCTGTTTTCTCCGATTCTCAGGCCTGTGAATTCCAGCTGTTTTAGCTTACTCATCTCTGATGCTCAGCTCAGTGATACCACTGAGCTCTGCTTGGGTGCTATGTCCTGGTGCCATAGTCTGGAAAGTGTCCTGAAGAATGAAGTCAACGTTAATTTGGGCTTTACCTCATGCAGTTTCCTGCTCTCAAGAATCTCAGTCCTGCACTGCCTGTTGTCAGTGCCTGAAAATGGCTCATGTATTTTGTTTAGTTTAGTAGATTGTTAAAGAGAAAGGCAAATCCAATACCAGTTAGTCATGTTGGGATGTGGAAATCTCAGTCTTTCATTAAGATTTTTTTTCTGTTAGAAAAAAGAAAAGAGTTTGCCAAAATCTCACTCTTATCATCCAGATAAAAAAGTTAAATCTGAAGAGAAGAATGTTAAGTTGTGCTGTCATACAATTTGGTTAGAAATTTTTTTGCCCAAAAAGTCAATATGTGACTCATTATTGATTAATTCCAAGAATTAACTTATGGTTAGATTTACAACCCAAATTTTGTTTACCAGTGTATTTAAAAAATTTTTCCTCTTGTTTTTTAGATAAAAATTCCAATTAGACTTTTACTCCTACTATATACCATGAAACTGTGATCTACATTTTATTTAGGTTCATTTTAAATTGGCTTTTTTAAGGACTATTTCTTCTCCCATAGCTAGAACCTTCTCACCCCCTGCCATGTATATGTGTTTATAAATATAACTTCAGATGTTGTTTGAAATAATAATTCCACCTAAGACTACTAGAATTAGTGGTCGTCTATATAGTGATCAAGTTCTTTGGTGAAAAATAGATGTTTTATAGCAAATTGATCACCTAGCATTACCACGATTTAGGAGCTCATGTGCCATAAGAAATGAACCTTTTCCCAGTAAATGTGTTGGCCTTTGGGTTCCAGAAAAGCCTCTGGTCTTTTCTGCTCTATTTTGCTTGATGGTACTACTTTTGAATCTGAGTTACATAACTTGTGAACAGAAGAGGTTTCTGAATGCTCACATAAAATGCCTCTTGGTTTTGTTTCCACAGCTCTTCTTGGATTCCTCATGGAAATTACATAGAGTCAAATCGTGATGACTGCACGGTATCTTTGATTTATGCTGTACACCTTAAGAAGTCGGGTTATGTCTTCTTTGAGTACCAGTATGTCGACAACAACATCTTCTTTGAGTTCTTTGTAAGGCCTTTTATATTCTAGAGTTTACTTTTGAAGGGGCATTCATGTAAAATTTCTCCTAATCAGTTGTTCCTGTTCCATTTTGTGCCTCTTCAGTTTTTCATGTTAACTGAAACTTTTCATACTAAAAGAAAATAGTTTTTCTATAGTATTTTATGTAATGGTTAATGTTGTTTCTTTACTGCTGAGCTCTCGCCTTGTAGAGTAACGTTGGCCTTGTTTTGCTTTGGTTATGGTGATTAAATGACCATTTGGTTTAGACTTTTTGTGTGACAGATATTTTCCCCAAGATTCATTTTAATTGCTTTTTTTAATAGCTACAGATGTTATTTTGTTAAAAATATGTTTTCATTTTAATTTTTTGTTTCAATTTAATTTTTTGTTTAAAAGGTTTTATTTTTCTTTGCAATTTCAAATATTTGAATTTTTAAAGTGTATTCTTGGCAATATTTCAGAAGTAGAAGTGGCCATATGTTTCTGATTCTATCAGTTTTACACAGTCTAAAGGAATCAATGGGTGAGGTAGTTGATGTCTCTGGTAAGAGATTAAATAGCATTACAAAATATAGAATAAAGTAATAGTCTAACAGAATAGGCCATTACCACTAAAATTATTTAACTATTTTGTATAAACTGTATCTAATCTAGCAAATATTTGCTGTGGCGGTGACTCAAATGCTTGAGAAAATGTTTTCAGATTGACTTCTTTATACCAAGAAAAGTGTGTGTTGTGCAAGTAACTGGAAAAATATCTTGTAAAATCTTTCTGTGGTCTAGTTTTCAGGAACAAATGTACTAATAATTCTAAAACAAATTTATATTGCACTTGATAATGGAAATTTCTAAATCAAAAGTTTGATAGGAAGAGATATTTTTCATGGAAGTATGAGCCTTAGATTTGAAGTCAAGAGATTCTGACTCAGGTCCCAACTCTGCAATTGCTAGTTGTGTGTTATTGGGCAATTGAGTTGACTTTCCGGCCCTCAGCATTCCCTTTTGTAAAGTGGATTGTGTGACAAGACTTTTTAAGGAGCCTCCTAGCTCTAATATCCTTTGATGAGTTTAAGATGTTAAGCAACATTCAAACAGATTTGCTTTTTAAGCTACATTTTGTTTGCAAAACACTTCTCAGAGTGAATAATTCTCTATTCCATGGGACATTTTTGCATTATTACTAAGACTAAAGTTAAGAAGTAAGGTAATTATATAATTGTAAGAATAAGCGTTTAGTTTTGTATTGTCCAGTAAGTCCTTTGAGAGTTGTCAATAAAGGTACTCCTAAGGCATGAAGTTTCATTACTTCCTTTCAATGATGCCTTTGTTCTTCTGGCTGTAGACTGAAAAGGGATAGTGATTTCATGTTCCTTCTTTTATTGATGTTTCAGCTTTATAGGTTGCAGTTTATTGACTCAGAGGGTCAACACTTCATGGTCATCATGCTAATGGTTAATGGAAAGGAAATGTCTGAAGACTGAAAGATGCAGTTATACCTATGGACATTATATAGTTTAAAGCAATAAAGTATTTAATTTTAGAAGTATGTGGGAATTTCATTCAGCTTTCCCCCTCCCCTTTTTTGTAAATGGTGAAACTGAAACCCAGAGACAATAAGTGATTGGACCAAGGTTATACCTTTGCTAGTTACTTTTAGAATGAATAGCAGAACTCAGGTCTCCAGAATGTCAGTCAAATGTTATGATAACACACGATGTCTGATTTCAGCTGAAAAAAAGGTTTTAGCTTATCCAAACATTGACTGCCAAAGGTATATTCAGGGTCCATATCTGTTTAAAAATGGCTTAACACTTGCATTAAAATGGTCATTATGCTTATAATATAAATGTGACACTTAAATTCACTTAAAGCAAATATCCTCAATAGCTGATATTCTTTGGTATTTGGATGTTAAAAGAATTTTCTCGTTAGTAAGTCTGTAGGAAATATCTCATGGAAAACATTGTTATGTTGTTTTTAAACTGGGAAGGAGGATTAATGAAGTGGCAAGATGATTTAGAGAAGAAAGAAATAGCTATTCTGGCGGAAGTATAGGTGATGAGGTCTTATGTTAGCCCTACAGTTGCTGACTGTTGTGCAATACTGTAAAGATGTCCTGACTTTTTGATGTCTGTGTATTCTTTGTAGGCCTGGAAAAGTAGTGTCCCCCCCCCCCCCAGGCATTTTGAAAGAATTGTATGGACAGCACAAAGTGTTTAATGCTAAAGATATTAGCGGTAGTCATTTAAATTGGCATGGCATGTGATTAACATTTACCCCCAAATGAAAATTTGAGACTTTGACTTAGGCTCTAGCCACTTACCTGTACATTTGGATTAAGTCCTGGAGTACTGAAGACAAAGCAGATTTCATTTATTTATTCATTTAAAATTTTACTTCCCCGAACCTTCTAAAAATAAACTTTATTTTTATACTATGGGGCCTGCATGGTGAATGCAAGCTTTTAAAACATTTTTGTAAGTTGGGTAGATTTTTGTAATGACTTTTTCTCCTTTATGTGGATTTTTGGTGTTAACTGCTCTCTCCCCCTCTTCATCACTATCTCCCCCTCCCTAATTCTTAATGGGCTAGCTTTTTTGTTACAATAATGAGGGTGGTTTACTTAGCCACTCACTCAAATGCAGTTGTCACTTAGGCTCCAGAGGTCTTGGTGTGTTGACTTGTTGAGAATTACTCATGGCCATTGTTTAGCATGTATTGAAAGAAGCTCTTGCAGCCTGTCCAGTGCTGAGTGATGAATTTAATTAAAGCCATTATTCAAGAAGTTTTACTGGGGCCCTTGTGTTTAATCCACAGATTCAAAATGATCAGTGCCAGGAGATGGACACCACTGCTGACAAGTGGGTAAAACTCACTGACAATGGAGAATGGGGCTCCCACTCTGTAAGTCTCTCTCTGCTCTTCTTTCCTACCAACTCATTCTCCTTCCTTTCCCAACCTTTTTTTTTAAAGATTAAAAAAAATCAAAATTGTTTGTTAATTTAGACAATTCCTAGTTAGGGAAGAAATTGACCCTAAGTTTCACGGACACAGGTTCTTTCTAGGTATTTTTTCCTACCTTTCTTTTTCTTCTTAGGTTCCTTTCCTTTCTCTTTCTCATCATACTCCAAATTTTCCCCTTTTCAAAGGGGCATTAAGAAGAAATAAGTCTAGGGGCCGGCCCCGTGGCTTAGCGGTTAAGTGCGCGCGCTCCGCTATTGGCGGCCGGGGTTCGGATCCAGGCGTGCACCAACACACCGCTTCTCCAGCCATGCTGAGGCTGCGTCCCACATACAGCAACTAGAAGGATGTGCAACTATGACATACAACTATCTACTGGGGCTTTGGGGGAAAAAAGGGAGGAGGATTGGCAATAGATGTTAGCTCAGAGCTGGTCTTCCTCAGCAAAAAGAGGAGGATTAGCATGGATGTTAGCTCAGGGCTGATCTTCCTCAAAAAAAAAAAAAAAAGAAGAAGAAATAAGTCTATTCAAACTAACACACAAAACCTCTGAGTATGTAAGTTTACAGATGTGCCTGTATCCTGGAGAGAATCAGTGGCTCTTGACACTGGAAGGATCCTTTAGTTCCTTTCATCCAGCTTTCTCTGCAATTATCCCAACAAGTGATTTGCAAGCTTGTCTTGTTGGGGGCTGTGTGCTGACTCCATTGTTGGACAGCTCTACACATCACAACATTCATTCATGTTTGGAGCCTAAACCTACTTCCTATCTATTTGCCACCCATTGCTCACAGTTTCACCCTCCCAGGTCACACTGAGTAAGGTAACTACCTAATTCTCCACAGGACAACTTGAAATGCTTGAAGGCAATTAGCAGGTATCACAATCTGTGAATCTGTTATTATTTGAGGCGCTACCCCTTTGGAGTGAGACATGGATTTAAAATCTAACTCTGGCTTATAGTAGTTGTGTTTTTTTAGGCAATTGGCTTAATCTCTTTGAGTCTGACTTCTCGTGTGAGAAATGGGAGCATTCTTGCAGGTTCAAAGAGATGATATATGGGAAGGGCCTAGTGTGGTGCCTGCAGTGTAGATTGAGCTCTATTTCAATAAGTGACCATCCATCCTTGCCTTTGTGTTGTAGCGGGTGCCTCATCCTTGAGTAATTAATATAATGTACCCTTTCAGAGTAATTTTTTGATCTATATGCCTGGGAGTGATATTAGTAGCACTTAAGATGCATTTACTTAAGCATTCAGTCAGCTGGGCCTTGAAGGTACAAGCAACTCTTGGCAACAGATATACTCTCTTCACTTATAAAGACTTAATACAAGCGGACAGTACTTAACACACTACTTCTCTGAAGGTCTGGCAGGGTAAAGTAGTTGACTGTATTTTAATTTTATACAGCTTGAATTTGGCCAGCCAGAGACCACACAGAAGAGTAAGAGTGCAAATGAGAAAGTGAGGAGCCCTTAAAATTAGTTCACTTGACTGAATCAGCATGAAATTTATCAGAAAAGTGTTTGATTTATGAATAGAAAAATGTTCTGGTGACAAAGGAAGCAAATATTAGATGTAGTATCATTTAAGTTCTGGAGTCATACAGTTAAATCAGGCTATTCTACAAGAACAGTCCTATTTTTCTCTTGTTGCTGTCGCAGCATTATTAAATAATTTTAAAAGGAAGCAAACTCATTCTGTTGCCTTTTTGTTTTCAGAGCCCAAAGATTTACTTAGGAATAGTGGCAGCCAATAAATATATAATTGGGCTGAGTGCCTCTCACTCTCTAAAATGAGTGACTTTTAAATATAAGCCAAGACTTCATGTAAATGGTATGAAAATCATTTTATCTTTTTGTTCAGACTTAAAGAATTTTCTTCACCTTCTTTATTACTCTATTTTTTGCTTTGGCAATTTATTTTTTTAGAACATGTGAACCTCAGTAGAGCTTAGGTCTGAATTAACAGTACACTTAACTTTGTGGGTTCCAAATTAATGATGTTTTATTATAATGCATTGAGACATGTGTAAGCGATTAGCTTTTAGGTATGGTTGGAAGTAGCTGGTTTATCTGACCTGAGTGTCTTGTGTTTCTCTTTACAGGTAATGTTGAAATCAGGCACAAACATACTATACTGGAGAACCACAGGCATCCTTATGGGCTCTAAGGCAGTCAAGCCAGTGTTGGTAAAAAATATCACAATTGAAGGTATTTCACAGCAGTTTGCTTTAGTAGTCACCTATCACCTTTTACAGTTAGTTAAAACATTGTTTCCATTGTTGCTTTGGCTGGCTCAAGGGTATATGGGACAGGAATTAATATGTTAGGCAGCATACAGGTCTAGAGACCCTGGTTTTGTTGCTGGCAAGTTGGCTGGAGTTTTTTGGTACCCTTAAACTGAATTATTTAATCTGGGTGAAAAAGTAAACATGATGACAATTTTAGGTGTTTTTAAAGAAAAGAAAATAATCTTCATTAATAAGAGCTTATTATTCATTCAAGCAATCTCTATTGTGCCAGGCATCAAGCTTACCCAGGTCACTGCTATATCCATAAAAATAGCAATAAAATAAACACCTCAGCCTGTCTCCTAAACCTTTTGCCTTTCTGAACCAGCTGGGCATTTTCTGGCTCAGGAGAGTGGCCGATAACCGTTGGCATGGTTCATTCTCAATTAGGGCTACTTTTAATTAAAGCAGTGATTCTCCTTTGTTGAAGTTTTGCTTATATTTTATGATTTTATTTATTTGTTTATTTTTTCCCCCAAAGCCCCAGTAGATAGTTGTGTGTCATAGCTGCACATCCTTCTAGTTGCAAGTTCCGCTTATGTTTTAACGTTCTAAGCATGCTTGTTCCTGTGATGCTAACTCGTTGGTCATAGGGACATCTGCTGGCAGAGGCTGGAATTACAAACCAGAAGAAAAATCAGGCCATTCCTAGGGTCTCCTAGGTCTTGTCTGTGACTTCAGAGCAGTGGAGAAAAATGGCACAGGTAGCCACATAGATCACAGCATGAGAGGCATATAGAATTGAAAGGGTCATTAGAGTTTATCCCACTTCTGAGTTAGTGAAGTTGTCTTTTGACAACTAGGTTTATATATTTACTGTATCTCTATCAAATTTCAATCTCTTGTTTAAGTGTTTGTTCTACTTATTGTGTTTAATTCGGTATCTATCCCAGTTCTTTGCACACAGTAAATACTTTCTGGGTGTTGAATTAATGAGATAAAGGATACAGGCTGAGCTTTTACTAATATGTTTCTCTCTCACTTCTGGGTAGAAGCAGCAAGAAGGAGCTACTTTGCTTGTTGCTCTTGGGTCCTTCCTCCCATGCTCTGTTTTCCATTACCACACAGGGGTGGCATACACGTCAGAATGCTTTCCCTGCAAGCCGGGTACCTTCAGCAACAAACCAGGTTCATTCAACTGCCAAGTTTGTCCCAGAAACACCTATTCGGAGAAAGGAGCCAAAGAATGTATAAAGTGTGCAGAGGACTCCCACTTTTCAGGTAGGACTAGTCTTCACCAGCTTATACTCTTTGTTCTTTTCTTTCTAAATTGATGTTTGTTGAATGTGAAGTCATAAGGCAGAAGTCACACATACACTGTGATGAGAACAGTGGGCCGGAAACTGAAGTGCGGAAGTGAATCAGTATTGGGTGGATAAAATATGACTTCTGGTCACCCCTTTCCACGTGACTTTTCCCTTTGTAATTTATTCTGTTCCACTCCCCACAGGTAACTGCTTTGGATATGTTTATACTAATCTAAGAAAAATTCACATTGTACTTTTAGATGGTTCATTGGCATAGAGATGTCCTTAAAAACTTTTAATTTGTTCCAAATTTACAATGTTCAGTGATAATGGAATAAAGCTGCTTCTTCCTGGAGAAACTATGACATGCTCCTTGTGCATCATGGAAACATTGATTGTTCTAGGGAAAATAAAAATGCAGGCCTTTATTTTCTTTAGGCCTAGCTAGTCCTACCTAAACTCTGGTAAGGTTATTTTTAGTTGTCTGCTTTTTCTGTTTTGATTTTTGCCTTTTCTTAGAGTCACAGCATAAACAACTCCTTTCTGAAGTGCATTTTTATATTGCAGAGGAAGGGTCCAGCGAGTGTATGGAGCGCCCTCCCTGTACCATGAAAGACTATTTCCAGATCCACACTCCATGTGATGAAGAAGGAAAGGTATAGGCCTTGTTCAGTCAACTCCATCCCGTATCTATCCACCCCTCTTCCCAGTTTGAGCAGATTCTGATTTGTTCATGAGAGAGTTAAATGAGCTGATTTATAACACAAACATGTAAGTAGTGCAGAGGGAACTTAAGAATTTAGATTCTGAAGCCCGTCTTCCTGGTTTTAATTTTCACATCTACTGCTTATTAGTGCTGTGGACAAGTTATTTGCTCTAAGACTCAGTTTTTTCATCTGTAAAATGATTTTTCATCTGTAAAACTTTTACTTCATAAAGCGGCCATGAGAATACATGAGATACTCAATTTAAGGTTCCTAGCACAGCGCCTGGAACATAGTGAGTGCTCAATAAATTATGACTATTTAAAAAAATTTTTTTTCGGAGGTAATAATATCAGGAGGAGCACAGCCTTAAAATGTGGACCGTGACTCACAGGATGGAAATATCCTGTAACTTTTCTTTAATTATTTGGTTACTCCGTAGGTTTGGTTAATAAAAGCCACGCAGCCATAGGCTGATTCAGTTATTGCAGATTACTGTGTAACTGCATTTAGAAAATGCAAAGTCATTACCATATAAATGGCACTTAGCTAGAGGAAAAATGCACACATGAACTCTGCAGTTGACCTGCCATCCTCTTAATTAAAACCAGCCTCTGTCAGTGGGAGAAACTTGAGATTAAAGTGGCTGCAATGCACCATTCGTTCTGTATGTTTGTGTCTTTGAAATAATGACATTCTTGACCTAGTTTGGAAAATACATACAGATGTCAGTGTTACTTTCTTTTTTTACTTTTGTATCCTTAGCTTCTAATCTATAACCTTATATTTATGTGATTATTATTTTACCCTTGGTCCTTAATTTTTTTTTTTACAGAATTTACTTTTGAATACGTAAGTCCAAGTACATTCTAGTATTTACAGTAGAGCAAGTACTTACTAAGAGTAATTTGAGAGAAGGCATGTTTAAATTAGTGGAATAGTTCAGTGATTAGAACTACATCTATTATTTTTAATGAGAATAGTAACTCAAACTAATATCTCTTAAATGACAGGAGTTTTGAGGTAAGATCTTGATGACCCTACAATAATTGCCAAGTAAGGACTATTTCTATTTAGAAAATATATGTAGAGAGCCACTAAGGTGGGTTGAAAGTAATTAGGAATAATGTTTTTTTAGCTAAACTCTTCTTAGCTAAACTCTTCTTAGCTTCACTTGCCTTATTAATAAGGCAAATTAACTTTAGTTTATTCTGTGTAATAATCATTAATTCATTCAATATCAATAATCATTACCAAAGCTTAAATGAATGAGATCTAAAATACAAATGGATCTTGTCTTTGTTATAATGAAAATACTCAAAAATCCTATTTTTATCATGTCAATGAGTAGTTTGTTATGTCAATGAATAGTGTGATAAAATCTAGTTGACCTGGGCCTAAAGGAAGTTAGGCCATATTTTAAATGTAGAATGCACAGAATCACACACATCGACACACACACAAGTATGTGCAAGTATATACACCTATAGGCATGTTGTGTATACACATACACAACATGTTTTTCTGTTGAGTCTGGGTGAACTCTGAACATGTTCTTGGTATAGAACAAAACAATGTGCTATATTCCATAAACTCAGTGATTCCTTAAAAGGTGATTTAAGACTTATTTCAAGATAAATGTTTCTAACTTCAGAAGTAAACAAAAAGCAATGAGAACTTAATTAAATACCAGATATAGCGAAGAAGCATAAACATGTGTATTCGAATTTTTTCTATTTTTGTTTGTTCCAACATTTTCATTTGTTATGGTTTCATCTTTTTTTAAAAAGGCATTTTGTTCTTGCTTGGAATAGCCTGGTGATTTGCCAGGGGTTTAGGATGTTTCCCAGGTCATTCAATGACTGTGTTTTTGCTCTTTTTGTCCTGTCATACTCTTTTTGATCTTATTTTCCCCCTGCTTGGAGGACTTCATCAAGGGAAGCAGCTGTTGAAGTACACAGACTTTGAACATTATAATTTATATGACACAGGGATGTTGCAAGTTTCTGTGTTCATTCTGAAGCTTAGTTATTTGATTACTTCCTGCCTGTAAGGGACATTTTTCAGGAAAATTTTAATTGGTATCTGGGACCATTCTAATTCTGATTAAGAGACTCCCTCTCATTAACATCATGAAAAATGTGGAATGCCTACTCATTCATTCACTTATTTAGTAGATCTTTACTGAGCACTGGTTATATACAGAGTACTGAGTCATGAGGGCAGAGCTTAAGGATAGGCAGAAGAAGAGAGATGTTTTTGTAGATTGTAGAGCAGTGGTTGTCAAACTTGAGTGTGCATCAGACTCACCTGGAGGTTCCTGCCCCAGATTTTCTGTTTCAGTAGATCTGCGGCAGGGCCTGAGAATTTACATTTCTTTCTTCTTTTTTTTTTTTTTGTGAGGAAGATCGGCTCTGAGCTAACATCCATGCCAATCCTCCTCTTTTTGCTGGGGAAGACTGGCCCTGGGCTAACATCCATGCCCATCTTCCTCCATTTTATATAGGACGCCGCCACAGCATGGCCTGACAAGCGGTGCCTCAGTGCGCGCCCGGCATCCGAACCCGGGCCGCCAGCAGCAGAGTGCGCGCACTTAACGGCTACGCCACGGGGCCGGCCCCCCAATTTACATTTCTAAGAAGTTCCCAGGTAATTCTGATTCTGCTGGTCCAGGATCTCAGCAATTTGAGAACCACTGGTCTAGACTTTAGAGGAAGAGAATGTCAGTCTGTCAAAGAAAATGAGTTATTATTTCCAATTGTGATTAGTGCTACAGCAGAGAAGTGTGAGTTTTATGGGGATCTGACGCAGTCTGAGAAGGCTTCGGAGCTGTGTAAAACCTAGGTGATAGCTTGAGAGGAGAGCATTTCTGGAAGAGGGAGCAGGATGGTGAAGACCTGACATGGGAGGGAGCACGGTGTGTCTAAATAACTGAAGGGATGTAAGTGTGACTGGCAAGTGGACATGTGGATAGGAAGTTGCATTAGATGCAACTAATGACATAGGCTAGATTAGGCATGGTTTCATAGTAGTGAGTTAACTTGAGGTTTCTATGTATGTTTTGTTTTCAAAGAGTTGCTTAGAGCCCACTTTTTACAGATGTTGAGGTACGTCTCTACAGCTACATATGGGCACATGCACAGATTCGGTGCTCGAAATTTGAGCTCCAAAAAATGTTGACCAGTGATAATGGGCGAGTATTCATCAAGAGAAGCCATCTTTTAATGTTAGCAAGGTATTTGATAGAGCTTCTCTTGAGCTCCCTATGGATAAGATAGAAAATTTTGGACTAAATAATAGGGTTAAGTGGATGTATGGCTAATTTAAGAACAATATGTAAAATGTTTGCTTGAATAAATGGGTATCAACTAGGAGTATAGTTGATGTTAACTAGGAGTGTAGTTGGTATCATGTATTCATCATAGGAATATAAATTTAACAAAGTATTCATGCATATCCTAACTCACACCAAGAAGAATATGAGTTCAGATGACTTATTTTCATCATTGTATTTAAAAATCCTTAACTTGCATGAAGACATTGGGAATAAGTATATCAAATTGTAAATCAATAAAGCTGGTAAGAATGACAGAATTAAGATTCAGAAAGACCCCAGTGTGCTTGAAAAATGAGCTTAAATTGGTAAAATCAAAATTTATTTGTGTCAAAGAAGGTCTCAGATACAAAAGGTATTGAGAAAAGAGAAAACATTAACTTGCCAAAAAGATTTCTGAGAGAATCCAAGCTTTAGAAGATCTGGCTCACCAAATGAAAAATGTGACAGATACTTAAAGGGAAAAAAACCTCCAGGGGCCGGCCCAGCGGCATAGTGGTTAAGTTTGTGTTCTCTGCTTTGGTGGCCCAGGGTTCGTGGGTTCAGATCCCAGGGGCATACCTACACACCGCTCATTAAGCCATGCTGTGGTGGCGACCCACATACAAAATAGAGGCAGATTGGTACAGATGTTAGCTCAGGGCCAGATTTCCTCAAGCAAAAAGAGGAATATTGGCAACAGATGTTAGCTCAGGGCCAATCTTCCTCACCAAAAGAACAAACAAACAAAAAAGAACCCTCCAAAGAATACAAAGGATACTTAATTTTCAAGTAAGCTGTTCTTGTTTGAAAAAAGAGTCTCTGACTTGTTGATCGTATCAACAAAGGTTGTCTCAAATTTGCTTCCGCAAGTCAGGGGAATAATGTTGTTTTATTAGGGAGTTGGCAATTAACAGAAAAGGCAATTAACAGAAAAGGCTTAAGGTTTTATTTACTTTGGGTCCTAAAACTAGACAGAGTAACTTTTTTCCCCCCTGATTGTGGGATAAGATGTATGTGTTTCCTTTTAATAGTGGCAGAGGAGGTGACAGTTTTGCTTCCATACTTGGGGATAATGATAAAATTCTGTTAATGAATTTAAAAAATGCTTTTCAGAATTGGTGTGATGGGAGGTGGGACAGTAGTCTCTTGAGTCATGTGACTGGGAAGTCAATATCAAGCAAACAATTTTATCAAGGCTTTCTCTTGCTCTTCTCATTGATACTCTTGGCTCAATTTGATTGTCTTCTCAGGCAGGCTCTTTCCTGTAGTAACAGAAGCCCACTGGCATCTCCACCCAAGCCACTGTCATACTCACAGCTTTTGATGGCAGGAACACTGACCAGAGTTGCAGAGAAAACTAATTGGCTCTTTTTGGCTCATGAGCCCATCTCAGACCAACCATTCTGTCTAGGAGCGTGGGATACTCTGGTTGGACAGCTTAGTTCACCTGCCAATCCCTGTGGCTGGGGAGGCCAGACCATATCATTGCCAGTTCCTTTCAGCCTCACACGAGTCAGTTTTTAAAGAGAAAAAGATGGTGTCTGTTACCACAATAAAAAGAGAGTGATTCTGTGCAGGTGCACAGAACGCATATACTCTTAAATAACATAAATAGATCCGGCAAGATTGTCTTGGTATACTGGGAATTCCCACAAAATTTTGTACATACCTTTCTTGATACTTATGTGGTGATCGTAGAAAGTTTGCTAGTGTTTTGGTATCAGATCACTTTATTGCGAGTACTTGTATATATGACTCTTTTCTTCACCAGACTTTCAGCTTCGTGTAGACAGAAACTTGTCCTTAATCATATTAAGAAAAATCTCTAAGCCTAGTAGAGTACCTGGCACACAGAAGGTGGTGAAACATCTTTTGAATGAATTAATGAATGAGAGAACTGGTAAGTGAATGAATGATTAGCACATTTGGAGTGTTGTGTTGTGTCCTTGGCAGAAGGCTTGAGAAAATGTTGACAAAATGTGCAGAATTTAAAGAAGAGAGGCCAGGATATTAAGCTATTTCATATGAAGTATGGATGAAGGAGCTGGGAATATTTTTTCAGGTTGGAGAAAAGACACCATGGGATGGAGGAATCATGATCATCTTTCTGATGTTTCCTACTTGTCCCAAAGAGTTTTGGTTTCTTTCCTTTGAAAACCCATGACATTTCATGTTTTTCATGGAAATGATGATGATGACAATAATCATCGTAACTGTAGTCATAGTATGAATAGCAGAAGCAGATATCATTTATGTATTTATGCGCACGCTCTCTCAGTGTGTGTGTGTGTGTGTGTGTGTGTGTTCAAACGTTGCCTCTAATTCTTTTTTTTTCCATCAGCTGTGCACTTTAGACTTTATTATACCCAGTTTGCAGTTAGGAAACTGAGGCTTAATGTGGTTAAGTAATTTCCCTGAGGTCATAGCTAGTAAGTCTTTAAGGCTGGAATTCTAACCCAAATCTGTCTGTTTCTAAATCCGATGCTTTTGTATCCTCTTTGTGTATTTTCTTTTCTATATTATAGTGAACCTGTCTTATCACTATTAGACTACAGCCTCCTTCAGAGCAAACAACTTGTCTTATTAATATTTAAATTTCCCACAGTACTTTCTTCTACACATAGCAGCTACTTAATAAGAATTTCTTAAATAGGTTTAAGCATTTGAAGGGAAGTCTTAGAAAAGAAGAAATAGACTTTTCTTTGTTATTCCATAAGGCAAAATTTGGGCTAATCAGGTGAATTTACAGAAGGTAAATTCCAGTGGTATGTAATGATGTTCTTACAAGCAGTGCTACCGAATTCTGGAACAGCAAGTTTTGTCAAATAGGAAACTTCCTGCCAAGGCTAGAAGAGTGCCTGATGGTGAAGGATGTTTTAGAGGGAGCCTTCTTGAGAGGAGAATGTTCAACCATGCAACATCTTCATCTCTGAGTCTAGAAATTGATGGATCATAGAAGGTTTACTAGTGTTTTGGTATCAGATTGTCTAGGACTTTCTTTACTCTTTAATCAACTTCAGTATTACAAATTATTCCAAATGTTCAACGTCTGTAACACAGTACTTCTGAATTATATAGCAGGAGTAAGATGTAGGGGACATTGAAAAATAGGGTATAAAGGGATATGGGTTTTAGATCTGCCTTTCTTCCTATAGAATTTAAGCAAGTCAAATATACTTGGAGCCTATGTTTCTTAATTAGGATGATGGGAAAACAACATGGCATTTCTCAGTGACTAGGGATTTCTGAATTTGTTTAAAATAAAAATTTCACTATAGTCTACTTTAAAATATATATTTTTTAAAAACAGATTTATTGAGATATAATTCTTAACCATACAATGCATCCATTTAATATGTCAATTCAATGTTTTTAGCATTTTCACTCCAATCTAATTTTAGAACATTTTCTTGCCTAAAGCCCTGGCTAGAACCTCTAGTACAAAGTTAAATCCCCCTGTGTCTTACACATAAAGGAAGAGCGCCCAGGCTTTTATGCATTTAGAAAGGAGCCAAGGAGATAACCACAAGAGAAAAGAGAAGACAGCACAGGCTTCATCAAGAGGAATCCAAGTGAATGCTGATGTGTAGATGGGTGGGCTGAGGACGTGCTTGGAGCAGATGTGGATGTTGAGCATGGCTTTGAAGGAGAGGTCAGAAACAACTTGGCAGAATGGTGTGGGTAATTCCAAGAGAGACAAATCCATGGCCAGTGGCTTGCAACTGGAAAGGATCAACGTTTGGGAGAGGCAGGAAGGCAAGCAATAGCCTGCCTGGCTGGAACATCTGAGCTGGAACGTCATGCCTCACAAGGCAGTTGGGTTAAAGTGGCGGTTGGTAGACCCTTCTAAAGCACATGCAGTTTAGCTCTGCTGAATTCAGCCAGTCTGCAAAGCCTTGGTGCGTGTGTGCAGGGACATTTGAAGGAAGAAAGCAGGCAACCATGGAAAAATCCAGTCTCAAGATTTGTCTAAATTTTAGTCCTCCAGTCTTGAATTTTATTTTGATATGAGAACCAGCTTCCAACTGATACCTCCATGTGTTTTTTTAAAACGTATTTTATTCATGCTTAATATAAATATACTTGGAGACTATAGATTCTCTGTAATCTTAATGGCAATCGGTAAATTTTGCTCTATTAGGGTTTTGGTTTCATAAAACATTTCCTAATTTTATCCCAACTTGCTGAAGAATAAATTGATTGATGGTTTTTCACCTTCACTGTGAGCCATCTGGTGCTAAGTATCATTAATATTAATTACTATCTTTCCCCAGTCAGCCAGACTTGAAAGCATCTGTCCGCATTAGAAAGAGAGAGACAGAATCTGCCATGTGAAGCAAGAGGCTTTGTCAACAAAACTGTTACTACAGAGCATTTGAAATTTGACTTCTAAATGTTTAAAGGTGGTGCAAAATTTTCTAATTTTTGAATATTTACTGTGCTTGGATTGAAAATCATGTGGTTAGTTGACTTCTCAAAAATGTATTTGCATATTTTATTATTTTTACCTTTAGCAAACTGATTCTCCTCGACTAGTGCTGCTTAACCGTTTACTAGTTGTGTGTGACTTTGGGGCAAGTTGTTTAGCAGCTGTAATCCAGAGCTTCCTCATTTATACACTTGAGGATAATAATGCTGACCTCCCAGAGTGGTGGAGAGGATTACATGGTGCCCCCAGGATCAGTCCTTGTGCTCAGCCTCAGCACCGCACCCACTCTCGCGTGGGAACCGACAATTCCAGCAATGCAGCAGTTCACACATAGCTCAATCGACTTTAATTAATGTCAAAATAAATCAGCAAATTGGTAAATTGACTAGGATTGGAAATTTGTTTTCTATACTTGTTAAGCCAGAATTTTAAAAAGACAATCCCCCATATATTATGATGTTTCATTTGCTGAGATTCTCTGAATTTTATATGCATTTCTCAGAGGAGTTGAGAACCCCTTATGGATATAGGATCTAATTTATTTTTTCAGCTATTTAGGAAGCTCCAGCAGGAACAGCCATCATTTTACAGATGGTAAGACAAGCAGATGGGTGAAGTGGTTGTTTAAACTCTAGCATGACATAGGCCATAAAATAAATGCAGGAAGAGAGTTGTAAAAAGAAAAGGTGTTATTTATAATTCTGTTGAGACATCTACCTTTTATATCATTTTCTTAAGCATCCTTCTTCAGATAAGGTAATTTACTCTTCCCTAAAAGAATACTTGAGAATAAAATTGAGTGGCCTAACGGGCTTATTACTATATATGATTTACTATTATTTGGAAATAGCTTTAGAGAATTGCCTTTAATTTTGGTTTTCTGGCTTCAATGTTAGACTTATTATTGCAGAAGTTGTTTTAAAGGAGAAAGAATACTTTTAGCAGATTATACGTCTAATGAAGGAAACTTTTAGTCTCTTTTTAAAAACTGTATTGTTATGAAAGAATTGATTTATTTTTCTCTTTGCATTTAGAATATCTTTTATTTTTTTTTTTTGCTGAGTATATAAATTTTGTTTTAAAATGGCTAACCCATTTAGTGTTTCTGGTTTCAAAATGAACATAATTTTATAATCATAATTTTCTGGGTTTGGCTGAATTATAGCTATTTAGTTATATTTTGTTTTGTGTTACAGTGTAGGCATGTGTGAGAGACAATGGAAGGATAAAGTTTAAAAGACTTCTCTCCTTGAAGGTAGAGGCTGTCTTAATCCTGATGTTGCATGTGTTCCTAACAGGGCCTAGAGTTAGGAATATTTTAGCTACAGCTCTCGTAGTCTAACCTCATGATATTGGAAAAAACTCAGAGGGCAACTACCAGTATGTATAAAATAACCAGATTGAAATGTGAAGTTAGATATATTCCTTAAAAAAAAAAAGCCTTTTGTGATCAAAGCATGGTGATATGTGCTGTGGGTAAGGGAAAGGAAGAGAGCAGTGGAGGCCTCAAAATGACAAAGACAGTCCCTGCATAGAAACTTGTCAGTTTTGGGATAAGGTGAATGAGTGACTGGAAGAGTAAGGGCTATAATTGTGTTGTCTGTATTTTAAAGAGGAATTTTATATGAGGAATATGCTGTGTATGAAGTAAGGCCTCCTGTAGCTTTGGGTTAAAACTTCTGGAAGTAACGATCATTTCCCCACCAAAGTTTTTTTCTTTTTTTCTCATTTTGTTAATAAGGTTTTAGATTCTCTTCAGCTGGCCCTTCTGTTCTATCACTATTTGACCTTTTCCTAGGTTGTCAGTTTAACATTATTGTTATTGGAAGTTTAAAGCAAATGGAGCATGTTATATGACCTGCAAGCATTTTTTTTTTTTTTTTTTTTGCAGACTCAGTTAATGTACAAGTGGATAGAGCCCAAAATCTGCCGGGAGGATCTCACAGATGCTATTAGGTTGCCCCCTTCTGGAGAGAAGAAGGATTGTCCCCCTTGCAACCCTGGATTTTATAACAATGGATCATCTTCTTGCCATCCCTGCCCTCCTGGAATGTTTTCAGATGGAACAAAGGGTAGGATGTCAGTCAGTCCAAGAATTGGACCTTTAGCAAAATAGTCTTGTTGTACCACTTTGACGTTGTTCTAAATTGCTTTTGTGGAAGAATTCTTTAAACACATATTTTCTTAGAGGCTGAAGAAGAGTTCAGAAATATGATAGTGGAATTGTGAGACTGCAGTGGCTTATTTATCATATCATAAAGATAGCTTTTTAATGGCATTTTGTGTAATACCCTCTTAATGGGATGACTCTTTGCCTTTGGATATTGATAAGAAAATTCCGCCATATTAAGTGATTAAGGATAAATACTCCTTTTCCAGTGTGTGTGTATGCATATGTTGATGCAAACATAAACTGTAGCTTCTGTTTCAGCTTTGGAATAATAAATCATATTTTGTGCTATGAGAATAGCAAAAATTGCTCATTTTGATCATATGGAAATTAAAATAGTCCCCAAGTAGACTATTTCAAAGTGTACATTTGGGAAAATTTTAGTATTTATCAAATAATAGTATAGAAAGTGGTTACAGAATGTTTTAATTTTAGTAGACAAAGATTACAATGCATTTTAGTAGCAGATGTCTTGTCATATACTTAATATCCAGAGCCCTTGAGAGAGAGCATGAAAAGGACTTGATAGTCAAATTGACTTGGGTTTGAATCCATGTCCTGCAAACTGCCAATAGTATGATTTATCCCAGTTACTTAAACCTTTTGAACTTCAATTTTCTCATCTGTAAAATTGCAGGCAATAATATCTAGCCTGTAATTATTGAGCAGGTTATGTAAAAATGTCTCCTGTAGTACTTTGGTACCAGGAAGTGTTTGCTCAATGAACATTTTCTCTCCCTACCCCTTCTCTTACTGATGTGATAGTGCGAATTGTCTGGGGTACATTAAAAAATGGTTGAAACAGACCCTTTCATTTCAGTGTCCAGATGTTAATTTAAATTAGATTTATTTATAAACCTAACTCTTTCCAAACTCTTCAACTTCCAGCATCATTTTTCAACATAGCCAATATTTTGAATTTCAAGTAATCAGTCTGTGATTAAATGGTATAATATTCTGTTAAGTTTAATAACCAATAGGAAGGGTGAAATATTTCCTTATTTGTGAGGTGGAGGGAACTGATTCTAAGATCACATGTAAGAGAACTTGTTTCAAAATTACTCTTCTTGTGGAGGGTAATTCGGTATTAGCAGTTACTCCCAGAAATGAAGGGAAAAATTATTTTAAAAGGTTTTGTATTTATCCTTTTCCTTTCTTTTTTTTTTTTTATTATTGATGTTTTAATGGTTTCTAACATTGTGAAATTTTGGGTTGTACATTTTTGTTTGTCCATCACCACATATATGACTCCCTTC